TCCAGCATATGGGGCCGGCGCCTTACTCCTTTGTGCCACAGGTGCCACCCAAAAGCTTTGCATTTTCGAGGCTCCATATGAAGCAAATAATTCTTGCTAAACAACATATCAATCATTTATGTGTAGCTGAGAATATACCTGTTATTTTAAATAAAATCTTTAAACAAATCTTCCATTTTCAGTTTTGTTACTGTTGCTATTTACCCTACATGTTGACTAGGCCAATAATTTTCCAAATCCAATATACTTCAATATGCTAAATTTTCGATCACTTTAACTTCTACATATTATTCCCAACCCCACAAAAATTTAAATGCCTTTGCTTAGGCCTCCCTTATTCCACTTTCTTCCCTGCATTTATTCTCACTTTCTATATTCCTGAGGGACACTTCTATAAGATTTGTAGGTCTAGCTGGTCAGTTTACATGGGTCTAATATTGATCTTCCAAAGTTTCTCTTCACATCCTACTGGGAACAAAACAAAGGCAGCCCTCTTCATATCATGTTCAATTGCTGCTCTTGTGGCACATGTTTCAGCAAATACTGATCATTTTCTCCTGATGCTAGAAGGAGAAGTTTCTAAGTTTTTCTCCATCTGGATGCCTTGTAGAAGATGCCTAAGTTCAGGAAACCCCCCAAACCCAGCTGACAGCCACATGCACTAGTGCCATGGCACTTGCTGCGTTGCATCCATAACAAACAAAGCAACAGCCACTATTCATCAGAATAAGCTGTTTTACACCATTTTCAGGGATGTGTTTCATTACTGATATAAGATTTTATGCAAGGGTTGGATTTTCCATCTTAAAATTTCCCATCTGGTCTCTGGGAGTGTCATTTCAGGTTGAAGTGGAAACCTAGCAACTACCTGGATGTCAGGATCAATTTAGACAGCAGGAGGTCCAGCTGAATTACAGAGCTTAGTATTTAGCCACAAAGAAGAGCTTAGAGTCTAGGTTTTCAACAAGGCTAAAATGATTTGTTAAAAATCATTTCAGTAAGTTAAGCAGTCACATCTATGGCATTCTTTTCTTCAAAAATCAATGAAGCTAAAATCATACAGATCTTCTTATCTGGACATTGCTATTAACTATCCTGTAATGTTTTCCAAATATTATTTAATTTGAAATTTATGAGACATGGAATAGAGTTAAGAGTGGTTCTTTCCAAAAGCATTGTGCCACGACCTTACTAATATCTCAAATAGTTATAGCTTCAAGGAGACACACCAAAAAAACTTAAGGATTTTTTGAAACTATGTATTGTATAAAATAATACGGACTCCATTAATGAAGTATCAGCACCAAATACACATGCACTCCTGTCTGAAGACTGATTACAAATGCATTATTGTTGTTAATTTGCTCACTTTTAATTTAGCATAAATATATATGTGATTAATTAACTGTATTTTGAAAAGAAATCAACTACTAATAAAAATCAAATGTTTCAAAAATTCTCAAGTTTATGTAAATGATCCAAGAAGGTCATGCTTACATACATATTTTAAGAAAATCATTTTCTCAAGACAATTTTAACCAGAGAAATGCTGGAAATAATAAATTGAATACATCAAAATATAAAATATATTGTTCATTGTGTTTGCCTCTAGCAGTACTGTATCATGAGAAATTTCTTATTTTAAAAAGGCTAAGATTTTGTGTGTGAATTGAAAACATCTGGGAGGATCTGTAAGAAATATTAACAATGTTGACTCTGGGAAGAGAAACCAGGGGTAGCATGGAGATTTACTTCCTATTTTATATATTTATTATATGATGGGTTTTATAACATTGTCATGCATTACTTTAACATAAAGGATAAGTTGAAAACAGACAAGTAAACCTAAGTTTCTTCCATTTTATTAATCTTATCCCCTGGTCACAGGTCAAATTTAATAGATATTGAATTAATAGAATTTACAGGTGTTCAGAGTTAGGAACTTTTGAGATCATCTGTCCTATTACATCAACTATTTTCAAACTAGTGCTAAATTTGCTCAGTTCACCTTACAGTAAGTAAAATTGCATTTCAACAGAGCTAAAGAAATTTGGGCAGCTCTTGGGATTCACCTTAATGGAATCTGACCTACAGTTGGTGGTGTGGGTTTCTGCTTTATCCCTTAGTGTCAGAAGTGCCAGAATCATTCCTTGCAAGAATGAACAGGATGAGTAGACTATATGTTTGCCTACCAAGGGTGAGGCTGAGGGCAACAAGAAGATTCCCTCTCATCTTCTCCCTAAGTTCCAAATACATTCCATTACAGATTCAACTTTTTGAATCAAGACCACTGACATTTACTGAAATGAATGTGCTCCTGTGGGAAATAAGCCGTGAAACTTAACCATGAAAAAACTGAATATTCCTGAAAGCTGGGAAGCAAGCAAGTGGTTAAAGAGAGAGGAGAAACTGGGGGCACCACAGAGAGGAAAGAGAATACTGAAGAAAGCATGGCCCGCTTCTCTTCTCTTCCTACATGATCATATTGCTGTGTAATTAGCTTTAGAAAGTGGCTTTGTTGATAACTTAAGCCCCTCTGAAACTGAGCAACACCAGCAATTCTCCATGTCCTAAAATATCAGTAGCTCCTCACCTCACAATCTTATTGCCAAATCCTCATCCTTTGCTCTGAAAAGCATACTTTATCATTTATACTTACATGGAGACCCCCAAGTTCATGACCTTGCTTGGTAACAAAGTAATAAGTATCAAGCATCACTGCCTACATAGAGGCAAGCCCAGATTTGGCAGAAAAATTCCAATGTTAGTAGAGTTTGCTCTTTTCCCTCAAAATGACCAAATTAACTAAAGTTTTGAGAATGAACAAAATTCACCCAAAATGAAAACTCAAGGGAAACTTAGAGGAAGAAGGTCTTAAAAGAGGCTGACTAAACTTTCCCAGACAGTATCTTCTTGTTTTGTTTCCAATCACCTGGGAAGCTAAAAGACCCACTGCATGATCCTTTCCCTTCCAAAATTGAGCTGATGAGTTGACTGAACACAATAGGGGCCCATGTGGCTCCAACTCTTGGTTTTCAAGACTATCACACAAACTTATATTGTTCTATGGCTGTGGTATAATATGAAAAATACAGGATGTCCATAAAGTTCATGTGCAATTTAAAATAGACAAATATGTACATATATTTTATCTTTGTCCCCAGATCCTAGTACAGAGACCCTAAAAACCTTGGCATTTCTTGAGTGATATGGGGTGATAGAAGTGTCTTTTGTCCTATTGAGGTGATGCTTAGTGAACCTCTAAGTAACTTCAGGATAAGGGATGGTCACCAAAAAGGCCAAGATTTGATTAGAAGCTTAGAACTTTTGGTCCCACTCCCCAACCTCCAGGGATTGGAGAGGGATTGAATATTGAGTCAACCACCAATGGCCTATGATCTAAGCAATCATACTTATGTAATGAAGCCTCCCTAAAAACCACTAATTGAGGGGTTCAGAGATCTTCTGAGTTGGCAAACACACTCACGTGCTGTGAGGATGGCACACCCCAATCCAACAGTGACAGAAGTTTCTGAGCTTGGGACCTTTCCAGACCTTACCCTATGTGCCTCTTTGTCTGACTATTCTTTCCATATCCATTCATTTGTGTCCTTTTTAACAGACTATAATGGTGAGTATAGCATTTGCCTCAGTTCTGTGAGTTGATCTAATGAATAATTATACTTGAGTAGGAGAGTCATGGAAATCCCTGACTTTGTAGCCAAGTCGTATAGAAGCATAGGCACCCTGGATACCTAATACCTGAAGTGAAGGCAGTCTTGGAAGACTGAACCCTTAAACCTGTGGAATATGATGATAATGTCAGAATTAAACTGTAGAACCCTCAATTTATGTAGGAGAGTTAGAGAAGTGGGGTTGGAAACTACACAACATATTTGGTATCGAGGGAAAACACTTCTCACTGACTATCTTCAAACAGAAGTATTACTCTTACAGTAATTCGGAGCCCTTCAAATTAACTCTGTGCAGAAAATACACAAATGACTGCTCTGACCACAGTGCAAGGAAGCCCAAATATAATTCTTCTGCTTCTAGATAGGAAAACCAACCCACTATTTTCTGAGTTTTATGTGGCTATTTCCCAGCAGATTGCATCGTTCCTATGATCACCTATATCCAATGAAATCCAAGTCCTATGAATTTTAATTTGTCAGTATTTCTTAAAACCGCCATCTCACCTCTGTCCTTCTGATGCTATCTTGCATCCTTCAAATCTTGAGCACTGTAAACAGTGCACAGTACTCACTGTATTCAATCTGTCATCTGTCTCTCACTCTGCCAAAAAAAAAAAGTGGTCTTCTGAAGAGGAACGTTTAACCTTGTCATTTCTCTGTTTAAAATTCATAATGGCTTCCTGTGACCTTCATTAATGTTCACAGTCCTTAGAGAGGGACAGAGGTTCTGAACATTCTGACTGTACTTAATCCTCTAGTTTCATTTCCTACTATATTCCACATACACCCGTATTGAATTCCTTGAAGTTTTCTGACTTTTTTTCTTTTGCTTCTTTGTATTTCCATATAGAATTTCTTCAGTTATTAATTCAACCAACATCCAACATTTATTTTGTCCCTCTGTGTGCTAGGTAGGCACTGCTTTGATGAACAGGACAGACATAGTCCTTGCTCTCATGGGGTTACAATCTACCAGGAAATAAAAGAATCATTGAACAACTAAAAGAACTATGAAGAAGTTTAGGATGACATGGGAATGCATGTGTGTATTAAACACACATGCACATGCACACACATACACACACACACACATACATGAAGGGAAAACTCTAAGTGATCCTTATTCAAGAATTCTCAGGGTTTTGTGTGAGCATTGAAATTGGTGGGAAAGAATGGTCAGATAATGAGGTGAAAGTCTGAGAAAAAAAAGGGGGTGAGAATGAACGTAAAGGAGCAGCCACTCTGAGTGGGGAAACCCAGGATGATAGCTGAGAAGGGTTAGAAGAACCTCCTGGGCAAACTTACATTGCATTGGCTATTCCCATTTCAGGTCTACACATGCCTCTGGAATTCCCTGAATCCTTATGGGGGGGAAACCCCCACCTACAGGTTCTGGATGAAAAATTCCTCCAGGCCTCCAGAAATGAGTCCCCTGATTTTACTATTACTCATTTCCTGAAAAAGTTACAGCTGGTCTTTCCTGACATTCAGAGCCTGAGGGAGTGCAGATTAATCTTTCAAATTTAAGAAGCTCTTAGAGAAATCACTCAGGAAAGCCTTAAAAACCAATTTTTCTATCTTCTGACTTATTAAAAATTTCATGAACATTTTTACTGGTACTTTCTTTGGCATGTTCTGGATGAATCAGCATGAAAAACAAAAGCAACTTTCCTGCCAAGTTGAAACTTAAATCTATGAAGGATGTTATTTCCAGTTTCTAAAAATTGTACTCAGAACTTGAATCTGAAGTAATGATACACCCTTTCTGGCCTCATGTGAAGTCATACCTATAAGCTGCAGCTTGGCACCATCTCTTGCTTTAATGGCACTATTATTACTTATATTTCTTTATTTACCTCAACAATTCCAGTCTTGTTTTCCACCTTGGCATTGGCAACAGAAGCTCACCTCCAGGGAAAATATATTTATATTATCTTTACCTGTGTATGATTACTTGGCAAGAAGTAAGCCAATTTTAAGAAGACTCTGCCCATTATTTCCTCTTCCTTTATGCCAGATTCTTGGGATTTTAACATTTTAATTAGGCAGGGTTTGTTTCTCCAGTCTGGTAATGTCTCTTCAGGCTAAGTGTGAGTATAGCCTATAGATTCAAGTCCTAGACTGTAGCAAGAAGAAACTTGTTGATAAGTCCCTCCCTAAAATAACTGCCATCAACCAAAAGAAGCAATAATCCACTTTTATGCTAAGAGCAACATGTTTTATAGATATCATGTTGCAGGCATACCTATGTGGGCTTATGATATGTGAGGAATCTGGCCTACATGCTTCAGCATCTGCAGACAAGCAAGCTCACAGTTCATGCCAGTCCATCCCTTCCCTCAGAGAATGACACATGCACTGTGATTTTAATACAGTCCATGTGTCATGAGTGAGTCTCATTCATCAACTGTCCCAAAGAAAGTTTTACTTCTTACAACAACTACATTTCACCTTTCACACAATGTATTTATATAATAGGTACCTATAGATACATATAGACCTACCAATTGCTTCAAAATAAAAAGAATGTAGAAGGATGTAATAAACAGATATGACTTAACTTGTACAATGAAAACACTGTGTGGTATGTGTGTGTGTGTGTGTGTGGGTATCCACACACACACACATATGTATAATGCTTAAGGCAACACTGAAGTAATAAATCAAGTAACTAATATGTCACTCCCACAAGCAGAATGGAATGATACATAGATTCTGGAAGTCTATATTAGGTGAACACTAAAACTTGTGTTCTATTCATACCCTGTCAAAACTCTTAGGATGTTAAAATACTGCTAAAAGAATGTTTTCACTAAGAAGGAAAAAAAAACTACATAAATTGTTGAAAGCTAACATCTAACCAAATCTAGGGATTTTTCCCCACTCCTTTATGGACCAGTGAAAGTGTTCTTGGAGCCTCTGATCAGATACGCAGGGAGAAGGAACTGCAGATGGGATGACTGATTTGAAGGGAGGTCGAGACTCCCTCTGGTCAGCAACCCAGCCTAACTTTACTGATTATCTTATATACTTTCAAACATTCAGTAAGAATTTAACACAGATACAAAGAAGTGAAGTAGCATTAGGAAGCTACCATTTAAGATTACAATTTAGTGTGAAGGCTGAGGAAAACATATACAACTGATTTTGTTTAGAGTAAAAACATAAGGGAGACTTACTGTCTGTTCTTGCTGGCCCAAACCGAAACTAGAGATTATAATGTTAATGAAGGAAGAAGACAGAGAACAGAACCCAATGCTCAAGGACAGGTATTCAAACTCCCAGCTAGACCCTGGCTGATTCTCCAGAATTCCTAACAAAGAGAGGAATTCTGCATATTTCTGCATATCTATAGGCAGGTGCAAAAGCTTGATCTTTGAAGAAATCTTTCTCAGAATCAATCTCCTGGGGGAGCACATTGAAGCTAACTGCAATGTCTGAGCATGGGGTGCTTATCTCTACAGACCAGACTGGTGCAATTTATTTTCCTGCCTTGGGCAGTTCAGCAGCTGCTGAAGTTTTAGTCACAACTTAGCAATGTGGCTCATGTGACTTATCCAAATAGGGGCATAATTAGCAAAATGTGTTCTCATAAGTGGTGGTTTAAATACTAAATTCTGGACAGAATCCAGAAGAAATCTAAGACAAAATAACATGGAGAAAATGGTGAGTAAGTTTTGGTCAAGTAAAATTCAATGATCATAATTCTGGCTGGAGAGGGTCAAAGTCAGAATGACTTAAAAAATCACTTTTAAGATTCTCAAGCTGAACAGCAGTCAGAGTCTGTAACATTTTGTGAATGGGAAAAAATATGTAACCTCTAAATATTAGACTCAGGAGAATAGCATATTTGTCAGACTAAGCGAACACTCTAACTTCAATAATTCTAAATTTAAAACTAACTTTGAACTATTGAAGTTCTATGCCAATGAAACTTTGAATTGTTGGTGTTCTGTGCACATGAAGGGTGGAAAAGGAAATTTTTTGCTTTCCACTCCCCAGAGCCTATAAGAATAATAACTCCTTGATCCTAAAGTCAATGGGAACAATGAAGGAATTGATTATTTTTCTTTACATTTCAATCTTAAGTTGTTAGCCAGAGCTTGGCCATGATGAACTGCAGACTCAGATTTGTCAAGTATGCAGCTATGACTTCTGGGGATATGAGGAGACAGAGAGGGTTCTGGAAAGTAGAGCTGTGAAGCTGCTGACATATAAAAGAGATGTAGGGAAAATGACAACAATGAGTCTACAAATGCACTTCTTCTCTGCTCTACATACTCTGATGTGAAAAGTACCTCTACCTGGCTTCCCTCAGGAAATGAAGTTTGATACGAGCTCTGAAGTACATGGAAGAAGGAAACATTTCAGTCAAAGGGAACAAGGTGGTGCAAAGGCTTTGTGGCAGAGATATTGTGGCACGATCAAGGCACAGAAATAAGGTTGGCGTGGCCAGACTATAAGAAATCAGGGGGTAGTGATTAACAGGTTTGCTAGCGTGTCAGATTACCAGAGCCCTGGCCATGTCATTTTTATTTGTATATCCTTACATCAGAACACTTGGTAGCCAATGAAGATTATTTGTGGAGATACTTCATATCCAGATTCTTATTTAATGATTATTCTGTATGAACTGTGATGAATACATTAGATGTGAACGACTAGATTCAAGGAGACCTTTTTATAGACTATTCTAATAATCCAAGCAATAAATCATTGTAGGTGGAAGCAGAGGAGATGGGTGATAATAAATGGGTGTAGGAAGGAAAATTGACAGGACTTTTTGATGGATTAACCATGGATAGCTAAAAAGACAGAGGTACCAAAGATTATTCTTGGGTTTCTATCATGTTCAATTTGGTGGAGCTACTGAGTAAAGTAAGAAACACTAAAAGAGGGCCAGATATTGGAAAGAAAGCATAAGACCATGTTTGACTGAATTTGAGGTATCTTTGACACGAAAAATGTTAAATAGAGTGTTAGACATGCTGCTCTGAACCCCAGAGGATAGATTTGGATTAGGATTATAATACTTTTAACAATCACCCATGAAAGTGGATGAGTTTGTGTCATAGGAAAAGTTATACAGAGAGGAGGAAAAGGGCTTCAGAGAGAACAACTTTTGAGAAACTATTAATGAACCTATAGAAGAAAATACACCTCCTACATAGAGGTAAGAGGAAAACCAGAGGTGCATAATGTCAGGAAGAGAGAAATTCAATAATTAGTTAGCTAAAATATAACAGTGTTATCAAGAACAGATACATAGACCAATGGATCAGATATAAAGCTATCTTTATTTCACCATCTGATGTTTGACAAAGCAGACAATAACATACACTGTAGAAAAGAATTTCTATTAAATAAATGAGGGAATTGGGGAAATTGGATGCCACATGTAGAAGATTGAAATAGGATCCACACTTCTCACCATGTAGTTGGTGGGACCACACTTACAGTGCATCTTACAAGGGTACATGTGAAATTTACTAGGTGTAGAATATAAATGTCTTAACACAATAACCAAGAAAATGCCGCAAAGGCTATGTTGACCAGTTTGATGAAAGCATTTCAAATTGTGTGTAAAACTAGCACATTGTACCCCATGATTGCATTAATGCACACAACTATGATTTAATTAAAAAATTAATTCATGATAGATAACAGAATTAAACCTAAGGCATGAAAATGTAAGAATAGAATTCTAGATGAAAATATAGGAAAAATCTTATAGACATTGGCTTAGGCAAAGAATTTATGAAGATGATCCCAAAAGCAATCATAGCAACAACAAAAATTAACAAATGAGATATGATTAGATTAAAAAGCCTCTGAGATGAAATTAAATTAAAAAGTACAGCCAAAGAAAACAATCAATAGAGTGAATAGCCAATGTACAGAATGTGAGAAAATGCTATACATCTTCTAAAGTTCTGATAACCAGAATCTATAAAGAACTCTAGCAAATCAGCAAGAAAAAAAATTGAACAACCCCATAAAAAAGTGGGCAAAATAAATGAACAGAAGTTTTCCCAAAAAAGGTAAACTAATGCCAAGAAACATATGAAAAATGCCCAATGTCTCTAATTATCAGGAAAATATAAATCAAAACAACAGTGAGATATCACCTAACTCCAAGTAAGAATGGTTTTTCTCCCCCCAAATAGCAAAACAACAGATGCTATCATTAATAGGGAAAGAAAAGATCACTTAGATATTGTTGGTGGGACTTCAAACTAGTACAATCTGTATGGAAAATTGTATGGAGATACTCAAACAACTAAAAGTAGAACTACCATTTGATTCTGCAATCCCATTATTAGGT